ATAATAATTAATTTAAGATAAATTTAAAATAAAAAATATTTATTCTTATTAATAATTTCTTAATAGTTAAATCAATTTAAAATTTTTTGATTAAAAATTATTATGGAATTAAACAAATAATATAAAAAACATAAAATAATCCCGTGCAAAGCACGGGCTAAAAAAAAACTAGTTATTATATTAAAATACTTAAATAGAACCTACTCCATTAATATTATAATTAAATATATTATTTAATTAATTAATCACTAATATATAACTGAATCTTCCTATTTCCTTACTACAAAAGAAAGGAGACTGCAAATGTGAGTAAAGGAAGAAATCAACCACAAAGCATTACCTGACAAACTGGTTCCAGGTTTCACTTTTCATAACGCCTGATGGGTCTAGTAATTGAGTCATCTCAATCTCATGGCTCAACTTGAGGTGTGCGGTCTCAAACCGCATATTTCCAGCAGGTGAAATTTCAAAGATGAAACCAAAATCAATGTGAACAACCGTCCCCGCGCTGCATTAAGATGCATATTACAGTTACTGCATTTTCTACAATTTCACTTATCCTACTGTTAAATGTATAAAGAAAAAATAAATAAAAGACTGCTGATAAGAAATTCAGGTCCTGACATAAACTGTTGTGCCCCCATCAAAAAAAGGCATATGATAACAAACATTTTGGTTTTTGGAAAATGGTGAAACTTAGATCTTAATGAACGCAGATTTCCATGCTAAATACAAATTGCAGTATAATACTAAATATGCAAAGTACTAAATAGGAGATATGTACAATATGAGTTTTGTACATTAATTTACAACAAAAGGTTTGTATATATCTGCTACAACTCTACTGTCCAAAGCATGAAACACAGAACGCCCTTACACCTACGTAAGTTTGGAAGTGAGCAGAAAAACTCTACTGTACATTTCAGTTAGAAATTTCAGCTAATTAATGATGGGTGCTCAAATGGTTACTATCTTCTTTTTAATTAATTAATGAACCAATCAATATCCTACAAACCAACATTAGGGAATAAACACTCGCCAGCAAAGAAAAAAGGATTTTACTTCCCAAAAAAAAGGTAGGTATTAAGTATGTATCATAGTCTTCATGTCCCCAAGAAGACACTAAATCAGAGCAGAAAACGAAGACAAGATAATACAATTCTTGCAAGGTGATCAAAATATCAGAAATTCGAAAATCACCAGCAGTCACATTTTCAAGCTGAGACATCCAAAAAGAGCTATAGACATGTAAGGATACAACAAGCGTACACCTACAAACAAACATTAGGGAAGAAACTCTCACCTCAATTATACCTTTCTCCGGGCCAGTTGCGAGAACACCATAGGGAAATAAGTAGAGATTAAGTCTGACTGCTTCAAATATGTCTCTCACAAGTGCTATTACTTGAAGAGCAAGAACATCTTGTCGACAATCATCTCCAACCTTGAATAAAACAAAATTCAGTTACATTAAGGGAAAACATACCATAATTATGAAAAATGTAGCAATCAGTGCAGTCAGGAAATAATATGTTTTACAACTGGAAACATGCAGAAGCACATAAATCCAAAAACTAAAGGAAACCATACAGCATGAGAGCAATGTCATTAAAGAGTAGTACTAGCTCAACAGAAAAATTACATTAAATTGATTTTTTTTTTTGTTTGGATTATCTAATAAGGAGTTATACAGCCAGAAGGACTGAAGGAGTCATCCCATTTTCCAAGTCCCTACCCTTCATCCAAAGGTTTAAATCTGAGCCTCGAACTTGTAATGGTCAAATTAAAATAAAATTTTCACAATTTAGATTACCTTAACAAATTTAAAGATAATTTTAATCCAAACCCAAAGCATAAGAACGCAAAACATTTGTAGTACTTCGGTTTTGTCATTGATCACTAAATTAAAATTTTACATAATTCATTGTAAATTATACCATGCAT